TAATACCTCAAATATTTTCGATTTCCATTGACATATGGCTTCGAAACTTTGCACACTTGTTCATCATCATAACTCCAACCTGTAGACAGGAGGAGGTGACTGTATCAAGCATTTTGACAGAATTATGCACTTTTCTCGATTTAGTATTTACGTAAAAGTTTTTTTAATACCTTAAATATTTTCAAGGTCCATTGACATATGACTTTACAACTTTGCACACCTGTTAACCATTATGACTACAACCTGTAGACTGGAGGAGGTAACTTTATCAAGCATTTTGACAGAATTATGCCCCTTTTTCGACTTTAAAGTTTTGTTAAGGTTTTTGTAACACGTCAAATATTTTCAAAGTCCATTGACATATGATTTTGAAACTTTGCACACTTCTTAGACAGGAGGAGGTAACTCTATCAAGCATTTTGACAGAATTATGCCCCTTTTTCGACTTAGAATTTACGTTAAAGTTTTTGTAATAGTTCAAATATTTTCAAAGTCCATTGACATATGGCTTTGAAACTTTGCACACTTGTTCACCATCATGACCCCAACCTGTAAACAGGAGTAGGTAACTCTATCAAGCATTTTGACAGAATTATGCCCCTTTTTCGACTTAGAATTTACGTTAAAGTTTTTGTAATAGTTCAAATATTTTCAAAGTCCATTGACATATGGCTTTGAAACTTTGCACACATGTTCACCATCATGACCCCAACCTGTAAACAGGAGTAGGTAACTCTATCAAGCATTATTTGTTACTATCAAGCACTAGAATAGTCGAGCGTTGCTGTCCTACCGACAGCTCTTGTCTTTTCATCTTAACCTCTATGTGTCGTTAGGTTGGGTTTTGTTTTCAAGTTCACTTCCATACCTAAAGATTTCTTAACAGCTATTAAGTATATGTTAGTGTTCATCCGTGCTGTACTACAGAAATTAGAAACTTCGACGGGAGCGATAGCGACAGGAGAATGTTTCTAATTTCTGTAGAACAGCTACGAATAAACACTAACATATTTAGTGTCAAGCTTTATTTGGCCCTTGATTACGTCACTACAGGGTTTTATGAAACACTATGAAAAATAGAAGGCGACTATGAACGGATTTCAATATAGTATTGACTTTTTTTCTTCCATGAAAATTAACACACATATTTTTTAAGAAATACAGCGTTTTCATTGGACGACAAATAAAGCTGGACACTAATTGATAACAATGCGTGTTTCCGCACGAACATGATTTGGAGAATAGTGTTACAACCCGAGCCTTGTCATCTTGTCCTAACATCTTAAATGTACCTAGCCTTGGAGCGAAAACGATTCTATCATTTTTGTGTCACCTCTACGGAGTAGTGGCGACATATAGGGATCACTTCTCCGTCGTCTGTCTGTCCGTCTGTCTGTCTGTCCGTCACAAAACTTGTCCGGACTACTCCTCATAAACTACTGGTGCAATTTCATCCAAACTTTACAGAAATGATCAGTACCAAGTCTAGTTGTGCATATTGTCAGCATTTTCCGGTTCAATGATTTTTGTCAGAGTTATGGCCTTTTAACAATTTTTAATTTTAAAGTTTGTCCGGACTACTTCTCTTATACCACTAATGCAATTTCAATGAAACTTTACAGGATTGATCTGTAGCTCAAGTCCTTGCGCGTATTGCACGGGTTTTCCGGTTGAATGATTTTTGGCCGAGTTATGGCCCTTTGAAAAAAGGTGTTTTTTTCTGTGTGTTGCCAGATACGCAAAAGCTTGTCCGGACTACTCCTCATAAACTACTGGTGCAATTTTATGCAAACTTTACAGGAATGATCAGTACCAAGTCTAGTTGTGCACTGTCCGTCTGTCTGTCCGTCTGTCACAAAATTTGTCTCAACATGAAATTGGCCATCATGAGGCTACACATGTAATCACTGATTGCTCTTGTTTATAAGTTCATCTGCGCGTGAGAAGTTAATATCAATCTTTGGGATATTTGGTTCTGGATGTGCGTCATTTTCTGCATAAGAGACAAATTGGTTTTCACGAATGCCATTTACAATACCTTCTGGTTGTGAAACTGTAAATTGGATAATTTCTGAGAGATCAATTTTAGCTGAAATGTATTGAGGTTTTAAAGTATAGGTACCAATGCCTGCACGACCACAAGATAATATTGATGAAGACATAGAAATGACAATACTACCACATCTGCTGGGGCTTCTTTCCATTTATTGAGTTGTTTAAATACTTTGTTCATACTTTCCCTCTGATTTTGATTATGCCACTGTATGGGTCGTACTTTGTAATTTTTTCTATTGCCAATTTTGAAACCTTCCCAAGTTGAGGCAATATTCTTTCTTCAAAATACTTTCGAAATTGTTCATCCCAGGCTGTATTTAATTTTGCAAATGCATGGCATTTCCTTAAAAAGAATATGTCTAAATATCAATGTAGATACATAGAAATCCTCAAGTTGAAAAGTAGTGTCATAGCTGACACTGACTCCAGTTCTTCAAACATAAGTTTATGTCCGCATATAACAACTAAATTTGGGAAAGTATTGATTACCTGAATAAACTGATTGCTTGTGTCTCTAGCTAAAGCATGCAGATTGTATAAGGCATCACAAGATATTCTAAGTTCGGATTTGTTTTAAGTCTCTTGGCTGTTCGTCGTGGTCATGAATTTCTTTCTTATACTGTAAACTAAATTTGGATCCTCCGATTTTGTTTTTTTTAGCCATTTTTCTAGACTGCTTGGCTTTGATCTTAAAAAAGGGTGTTCCTGGTTTTTTGAATTTCCATGGGACATCGGCTGTGAGATTTGTTCATTGCCGATGTACTGAATTACAAAAGGACCGTTAATGCAATCAGGTTCATGGTAAACAAATTTAACAAATTCTTTTGATGCGCCATTCTCGGTATGTATATAAAAATACTTTTTCTTTAACCCCGGATTTTTGCGTGGAAGACCCACAGTGCCTTGGTTTTATCCAACGATGTCTCTTGCCAATCCTGTTCTTTTAGACCGTCCCCTTTAAAAGTCCAAGTTTCGCCACCTCTTGGTCGAAAAGAAAGCGCCGATATTGGCGGTTCAGACCGTATAAGACGTAAAATTTATGAGATATTAAAATTACCAATTGAAAACCGTTAGTCACAGTTGCAGATAACTTGTATTGTTTTTTTTTTGAAAATTTGACTGAATGTACATTTTTATCAATATATTTATCCTTTTTTTAATTGATCACGTTCTTCTGTTAAAAATTTCATGTCTGTATTTCATGCATTGTACCTGCTCAGAAAAGTGAATTTTGTTCTGTTTAAACAGTGTTTTGAATTATTCATGTTATTTGGAGTGCATTTATTGGTTTCAAAGAGGACATATGATAAATTATTAGAAAATTACTCATTTAATTATGGGTTGAATGATGAGAGGTTTAAATGAAAGACGAATTTCTAAAATTTTATTTTTGAACGACATGAAAAAATTCTATTTGTAATAGATTAAAAAAGATAATAGAATAACATAAAAATGAAAATTTATTAAAAATATTTATTATTATTTAATATTATTTTTTGTAAGTCTAAAACTACGAAATGCAAAAAAAAGTGTATAAAATCAATTATTCTTTTATATTATTTCTTTATCAATTTATTAAACAGTAGCCATCAAACAAATTTATGTAATTGTGGTGTTAACAGTAAATCTTGTCAGCTAATTAGTTGTATAAACACTTAGGCATCACTATTAAATCAGTTGTATAAACACTGCACTTTAGCATCAACACTTTACTAATCAGTTGTTTATTGGACATTTAAAATTGTTTTCAGACAACAGCCACATATAAAAAAAAAGGTCTTGGGTATAAAAACTTCTCTAAAAGAAAAATAATATTTAATCAGATAATATAAGATATAAATAAATTATATTACATGATCAAATCAAGCAAAAAAGTTAAATAAAATTTAACAATTATGATATACAAACTTAAAGTACTGAGACAAAGTGAAATCCTCTTTAAGTTTTTTAATTTATTTTTTATAAATTTCAAGTATATTTTAGTATATCACAAGTATCATAATAATTTCTGCATAAAAAAGGAGTGAACTTTCTTGGTGTGAGCCTTCCGAATAGTGAAATGTCTGTCTACCATTATGTCAAGTATGAACCACAATTTCAACAGAGCGTTATTTTGAGCCAAAAGTAGGTCACTGTACATATATGGCAGCCAATGAGAAATTAAACTGAGACAATATGAAAAGGAGGTAGCCCTGAAAACATTGAACTGAGGTTTAAAACATCTTGCCAATGTTTGTTACGAATGACCATTGAACAACAAACAGAAAAAAAATGCATGATGGCTTAATTACTCCAAAAGTTGGTGAAAAGTATACTTGTTTTATTGATGCATAGGGCAAGAGGAATTTTGCTTAACCAAAATGTAAAACATAAATTAACTTGAATATTTTAAAATGATATAAGTTCAAAATGATTATACATGTAACAGTTTCTCTTTTTCATCTTAATAATTTTTCAAGTAAAAATCTATATGTTTAAATACATTAGCATTTGATGAATCAGTATTAAAATGAATGAATGGTTTCAAAAATTGTAATAGGAAGAAAATGTTTATTCTATTTGTATGAACTTTGTATGGTTTTTTTTTTAGGGGGGAAAGGGTTGTAATTACATGTATGTATTTTTTTATTTCTATGGACCCCAGCGGCTATCCATAGGTGCATAGTATGTCTTATTATTTTTTATGACAAAATTGTGCTCTTTTATGCTGTTTTATGATCTCATTATATATGTATATGATTTATATGTTATCTCTTAACTGTATGATTTTATTATTTGTATCATGTGCTATGTTCCTGAATGTATAAATAAAAAGATAAAATAAATTTCAACTATCTATCTACCCCTCACAAGGACGAGATATAAGTAAATATATGAAACAACTTGTGCATATTGTCGTTGAATTTTTCATTCAGTTATGCACAGCTAGTTTCTTTTTTTTCCAGGATTATCAGATAGGTGCCCCAGTATTGATAGATTTAGACCATGGTTCAATACGTTATCGTTATATGCAAGATTCAAAGGGAAGTTCTGTGAAGAAAGAAAAACCTTTTGAAGGAGATCCTACACAAAAAAAGGGACACTACTTTTATCACCCACGCTTGAATGATTTTAGCTCAAGTATGTGTTTCTCTCAAAATGGTGCATTAATTAACCCTTGAGTATCCTGTAGTTGAAATTTTTATTCTTTTATTTTAACTTAAGTTTAATAAGTGGTCTTAAGTAAACATTCATTTACTTTGTTGACATGTTATAGAGCTTAGATAACAATGGAAACAATGATTTTTCATTTTGTTTTCAAGATCAGATATTTTGATCTTTAGTTTTTTTCTTAATTCAAGTGATTATATGTGTATGTTATATGTGTATATTATATGTGTATATTATATGTGTATATTATGTATATATTAGAAGCATCAGCTGACCGAGAAGATCCGCAGAAGTTTCTGTATGTTGTGAAAGGTCCAAACAGTGCAAAAGACAAAAAAGTGTTTTATGTGTATGGCCGTAGCTTTGATGATAAAGATGGAAAATTGACAAAACCAATGGCAACAAGGGCTATGGGGCAGGACCCCACCTGGCCACTGAGACAGAATGCAAATGATGTTTACTACAACCTTACATTTATAAACCAAGGTAAAGTACTTTGATAAAGGTTCTTACAACATAAATAGATTTCATTTAGAGTTACTCAAGTTGAAGCATTTTTCTATACTTTTCAGTTTTCATGGTGTATGTTATGTGATTTACCTTGAACAAGGATAACAGTGGTGGAGTGGTGGCCTAGTGGTTTGGGTTTTGCCTCTCAACCCTGAGATCATGGGTTATCTGCTGATTAGTTCCAGGAGGCAGATTTGAAAGTGATTGATATAAGTTGAATAAAAATCACAATACACCATAATTATATAAAATAAATATGTTCAAATTTTTCTTAGGATAACAGTCAACATTACAAATCCATTTTCTTTTCGTAAAAGTTGCTGCAATACAGATCACTGAATACAATTTTTAGACAATAGCAGTTTTATAACACTAACAGTTCAACAACATCTAAGTATTTAATGTTCAACGTGCATTTCAGTAGATAGGGAAGTTATATTTTGATAATTTCATAGTCAAATTATCAAAATATTAACCTAACCTCTTAAAAATATATTAACCTAACTACTAGTATAATTGAATGTGGATGAAAATGACATTTGATTAGAAATATACTTGTAAGTAAAATGTGCATGATTATTGAAAGGGCATTAATATCTGCACCTGTTGAAACATAACAAAATTCTAGATATTTTACAAATTTTTTTTTAAGTGAAGTCATGATTTCATGATGTTACGCAACAAAATTAAATAGAAATATCTTTAAGCCAGTAAAAAAAACAACAACATGAAATAAATAGAAAATTGTTCCTTTTGACTGTAAGGTTTTATTTCATTTGGTGCCACCATCATGTATTGTTGTTTACATTTAAGATGTATTTTTTTATACCCCCACACAACAAAGTTGTCAGGGGGGTATACTGGAATCAGCTTGTCCGTCCGGCAGTCCGTCCGGCTGTCCGTGGGTTTTTTCTTGTCCGCTCAATAACTTAAGATTCCTTTGACCCTTAGTCTTCATATTTGGCATGGAGGTTAGTCATGATTAGTCAATGACCCCTATTGTTTTTTAGGTCACTAGGTCAAAGGTCAAGGTCACAGGGGCCTTGACTTTAAAAAGCTTGTCCTCCCAATAACTTAAGATTCCTTTGACCTACAGTAGTCATATTTGGCATGGTGGTTAGTCATGATTAGTAGATGACCCCTATTGATTTTGAGGTCACTAGGTCAAAGGTCAAGGTCACAGGGACCTTGACTTCAAAAAGCTTGTCCGCCCAATAACTTAAGATTCCTATGACCCATAGTCTGCATATTTGGCATGGAGGTTAGTTCTGATTAGTAGATGACCCCTATTGACTTTGTGGTCACCAGGTCAAAGGTCAAGGTCACAGGGGCCTTGACTTCAAAAAAGCTTGTCCGCCCAGTAACTTAAGATTCCTTTGACCCACAGTCTTCATATTTGGCATGGAGGTTAGTCATGATTAGTAGATGACCCCTATTGACTTTAAGGTCACCAGGTCAAAGGTCAAGGTCACAGGGACTTTGACTTTAAAAAGTTTGTCTGCCCAATAACTTTAGATTCCTTTGACCCACAGTCTTCATATTTGGCATGGACCAGGATGTTGATCATGACAATAAGGTGACCCCTATTGATTTTGAGGTCACTGGGTCAAAGGTCAAGGTCACAGGGACATTGATAAAAAAAAAGCTTTTCTTCTCAATTGCTAAAGAATGTCCTGTCCACAATGTATTGATTTTGACATTTTTACATTTGAAGCATGTAGAATACATAACTTAGCAATGTACTGGCTTAGTAACCTCAGATTTGGCAGGGAGGTTGTCCTTGAGCTCTAAATGGCCACTGTTGATTCTGACAAAGTGGTATGCGGGGGTATTCACGCCATGATAGTGGCAGTTCTAGTTTAGCTAATTGAAATATGGGTTATTCATTTTTATCTTCAACATCTCAAAGGCAATTCAATTTTTTATTTTTAATGTCAACCTGAAGTGGAATATCTTTTAACATCATTTTAAAATGATGGTTAGAGTTGTTTTGTCATGCTGGTGGTCATTTCACTTGTGAACACAAGATGTTATATTTTCACGTATGGATATGCCACTCATGAAAATATTGCATCTGATGTTCACACCTCGGAATTTATTTGTATCTTACATGCAAAACAAGCATAAATGTTCCTATAACAAATAAGTTATAGGTTTGTTTATATAATAATACTAGAAATTTACATTGAGTTGTCATTACATAACATCTTCATATCAAACAAGTCTACAAAAGTGTTATACAATGAACCTGTTGCAAACATCATATCTTTTTATTGAATGAGCTTTAATGTACATATGTCTGAGATGACAATTAATTATTATTTTTCGTTTTAGTTCTGACCAGAATACTATCCATAGTAAAATGCCAAATGGCAAAATTTTGGTTGACATCAATGTGTTCTGTAATGTTGTAGGAAATAGTCATAATTCATTGTTATATATGCATTGAAGGAAAGCAACATCATATTTTGAATATTTAATGGAGATCATTTTCATTCATTTTAGTACCAACAGAGGATCCAATCCCTGGTATACCAAACAGATATCAGATGCAGTAAGTCTTCTTCAATATTATTTGTTAGTCATTTAAGATCAAAATTTTTGGAATACAGAAAAGAATTTGATTTTTGTGCCCCAACTTTAGTGGCTGGCATTTAGATTTACCTTTGTCTGTCCATCCTGTCTGTCGCTCTGTTCTCTTTTGTGTCGTACCTAAATCAAAAAGTATTTGACCTAGAGTCATGGAACTTAAAAGGAATGTTGATCAGCATGTGCAGTTGTGCACCTGGGTATTTTCATGTGGATTTATTCAGAAATTTTTAGAGTTATTGCCCTTGACTAAGTGAAAAATTTGCAATTATCAACTTGTGTCGCATGTAACTCAAAAAATATTTGACCTAGATTCATGAAACTTGACAGGAATGTTGATCAGCATGTGCAGTTGTGCACCTGGGTATTTTTGTGTGGATTTATTTAGTATTTTTAGAGTTATTTCGCTTGACTTAGACAATTTTGCAATTTTCAACTTGTGTCGCATGTAACACAAAAAGGATTTGACATAGAGTTATTAAACCTTACGGGAAGGTTGCTCAGCATGTGTAGTTGTGCACCTGGGGTTTTGCTTGTGGAAATTTGTAGAGTTATATCTCTTGACTTAGTAAAAACCGTTTCATTATGTCGTTATTTGTTCCTTGAGTGCTTGAGTTAGAATCAACCAACTTTACAGGAATAAAGATCAACATCACTAAATTACAGGAATAATGATCAACATCACTGTGAAGGTTTGCACCTGGGACTTTGCATGTGGATTTTTTCAGTTTTTGCCCTTGACTTACAGTAGTATAAAGTTGCAATTTTCATGCATAGCTCAAAAAGAATTTGCATTGTAGGCCTGAAAGTTTACAAGAATGTTGGTCAACATGGGTACTTATGCACCTTGGGGTTTGCTTGTGGATTTATTCTGTATTTGTAAAGTTTTTGCCCTTTACTTAGTAAAAGATTTTTAGTTTTCGACTTGTGGCACGTGTAGTCCAAAAAATATTTGACCTAGAGTCATAAGATTGACAGAACAGTGGCGTGTGGGGGCACCCGTGTCCTATGGACACATTTCTAGTTTTGTCTTCTTTCTTACCTGTCATAGGATGGTTTATGAAAAATTTGTATTTTACTTCTATTTTGCAAGACTTCGTTTTTTTTTCTTTTATGATAAGTTAACAGTTCTTTTTCCTGCAAGTCAATGTAATTGTCATATTTTATCTCAGTTAAAATAAGCTGATATAAGTCTATTATACATCTCACATCTTATATTTTATCCTCTCTTTCATAGCATAATAGTAAGTTAAATGATAGTGTATCACCAAAAAATATGAACAATATTTAATCCGTGTAACAGAACTTAATTACACCATATTATCACATATACATGTAAGACTGTATCTTAAGCATAAATTTGATAGACATGTATCTCACAACTTTTATTTTTCCATATTTAAAATTTTGTTTGTTTTTATTCTAAGATGCCACTTTTCATAAAACAATATAATATTTTGAAATGAAATAACTGAAATTTAATGATTAATTAGTAATCTTATCTGTCATTAAATGCAGTTAAGATTATACAATTATAAAGGTTGACAAATATCTTTTATATTATTTTGTATTGATATTTTTACTAGAAATTTATCATAGTGACTGAGCATGCCTACCATAAAAAAACATATTCTAAGTTGAAACTATAACTGTATCATTTTGAAATCTCAAAGTGTAAAAAGAAAGCACACTCTTTATGAAATGTATTGATTTCATGATTATAAAAATCTTATTCAGTGCTTAAAATTATTGTTCAAAGAGTTCTAATGTTCTTAAATTTGAAGTTAGAAAATGTCTTATATAAATATATTATTAGCAATGAATTAGTTATGGTAGTAATCATAAAATTCTGTTTAAACAGAGGTGTCAAGGCATCTATCCAGGAGTTTTTTTTATTAAGCTTTCAATAAGGATCAGCTTCTAATATCAATTATGAAAATTTGAGATATAGATGGAATTCTTTAAATTTTTCTATACTTATCTGTGCTGTTTTTTTTTCATTATGAAACTCTGTAAAGCATGTGAAACATGTTTGTACTGGTGAAGTTATAATATTAACAAGCAGTCATACTTTTGATATTTAAAAAGTATAAAAACTATCTGTAACAGAAGGTGTAGTAAAAGAAGTAAGAAAGCTAAATATGTAGACAAATATTAGTTGTTGTACTGTGCTTGTCTCCCTTGATATGATTTTTTAACTGCAATTTAGTGAATATATTGACTGTTTTTTTTAAGAACATTGCATTAATTGATTATTTCTACTTTATTGTTTGAACAACAATACACCTAGATCTGATGTTTTTGATGCAGTATAGAATGACCATAAAATGACTTGTTTTCTGAATAATTGATTGTTGTAATTATTTTCTTGTATAGATTTGCATTGAACAATTCTGACACTGTAAATGATCTGAAGAAGAAAATTGCTCTCACAATTATAAAGTCATCTAGTAATGTCCATGTATGTTTCCAGCAAAATACACTCAGGTTAGTATGTTTCTATAGCCTATATCTTTATAGTTGATACATTTGATTTGATTAACTTCAGACTGGGCTAATATTTCCAGAATCTATTTGGTAAAGGAAACACAAAGGTTTGTACCTAAAGTCCAGTTGTGTAAGCAAAACACAGGTTAGTGTCATTGTGCATATGGCCGCCTTTAACATATAGCCTGATGTACAGACTGTCCTTGCTCTATATTGGAGGCAAATGCTTACCTTTTTAGCTTCACTATGTGATAAGAATAAGTAGAGCTATACTAGTCACCTGAGTGTCGGTGTCGGCGTAACCACTTATGTTAAAGTTTTTTTAACAACTCGAATAAATATATAATATTTCATATTGGAATTTGGCATTATCAAGGCTCTTTAACTATCAAGCACTAAGAATAGTCGAGCATGCTGTCCTACTGAAAGCTCTTATTCATATTGGACATATCTAAATTCCTCACATTCAGTAGGTTTATATATACATGTAGATAAAAAGCAAAAGTATAAGAAAAGAGAAGCTGTTTTTAAATCTGTCTACATCGATACTTTTGACTGATACTGCATGATTTTAATATACATTTTTACAGAATAATTAGTACAACTCCAAGTGCAAATACCAGTGCACTACATGTACATTCACTTTGGTATTTTTTGATAGATTTGTATAGCCCTTTATTAAAAAAAATCATTCCATAATTTTGTTTCCTTGTTTCAATCTTTTTAATGGAGAAACAAAGAATAAAACATACTAAACTTTTTTAACTATAAACGGAAAATCTTTCCTATGTAGCGCATGCCAAGTAAGTTTCTTTAAAGCAGTTTTAAAAATTTGATAAATACTTTCAATTGTTCCTTTTTTTTAAGGAGCAGAAAACTTACCTAGAATAATTCATACAAATTAATTATTATGTATTTAACTGTTATGAAAGTATTGTACTTAAATAAGGTCTAAGGTCAATACTAGTAACAGTTCTTGTTCCAATTATTTTTTCACATTTTATAGCCTTGTAAATTCTGTAGTTATGTAAGGATTTTAGATACAATATGAAATTTGCTTTAATTATGCTTTCCGGAAAAAATTTCGGGGGAGCATATAGTGGGCCGGCCTTGTCCGTCTGTCCGTCCGTTGTCTTTTTCCGGAGTATAACTTGAAAACCCTTGGAGATATTTGTTTAAAACTTTCATACAGTGGTAGAGGGCATTGAGGGGGAGTGCAGTGTAAAAGAACCATGACTATTTTTCCCCGGTTTTTGAATTATCTCCCCTGATAGAAAAATCTTGTCCAGGACATAACTCTAAAACTATAAGAGATATCAACATGACACTTTGTAGGTGAATAGATCTCAATGGGTAGATGTGCAGTGCATAAGAACAATAACTCTTTTTGTCCTTATTTTGGAGTTATTGCCCTTTGTTAATTTTAACACTGAACTTTGTCCGGAATATAACTCTAAAACTATAAGAGATATCTAGATGAAACATTGTAGGTAGATAGAGCTCATTGAGTAGAAGTGCAGTGCAAAAGAACCATAACTCTATTAAGCCTCATTTTTTAATTATCACCCCTTTTAGAAAAATCTTGTCCAGGACATTGCTATAAAACTATAAGAGATATCAACATAAAACTTTGTAGGTAGATATATCTCAATGGGTAGATGTGCAGTGCACAAGAATCATAACTCTGCATTGCCTAATTCTGGAGTTATTGCCCTTTGTTTATTTTTACTTTTTGAAGTTGTCCGGGACATAAAGTTGTCTGGGACATAACTCAGAAACCATAAGAGATATCAACAAGAAACTTTGTAGGTTGATAGATGACTTTGATTAAAAGTGCAGTGCAAAGAACAGTAACTCTTCCTTGCCTAATTTTGGATTTTTGCACTTTGAACTTTTGCCACGACCACAAGAGGTGTACTTTCCTGTGTCCAAAACCTATTTGGGGAGCTTCACCGGGCTCTTGTTGTTGATAGTTATAATATTGGATTGTAAATGCTACCAGTGGCTTAATTGTGCCCTATAAAAACTGTGTTCTGTGCGGAATGAAAAAACTTTAGTTAATACAAATCTATGGGTTATTTTTTTTGCTGTTGTTTTTTGTGTGTGTGTTTTTAGCTCGACTTTTTTTTTTGAAAAAAAAATAGAGGTATTGCTACAGTCAGGTCGGCGTTGCCGTTGCCGTTGCCGTCCGAAAACTTGTACCTGGATCATAACTTTTTTATTTCTTTGTGTATTGTCTTCATACTTGGCCACAACAACCCTGGGACAAGACCTTTCAGTAGACCACACTAACCTTGACCTTCATCCATAAATGACCTTGACTTCAAGGTTAAAAGTCCAATTTTTTGCTTGTTCATGCTGTTATTGGCTGTAACTTTGTTATTTTTGAATGGATTGTCTTCAAAACTTGAACATAATAATCTTTAAGATATTTCTCTTAAAAATAACCAGCCAGACCTTGACTTCACTCATAAATGAACCTTGAAACTTTGAAGGTCAAATTATTGAAAATTTTCATTTTTTGGCTTTTATTGGCCTGTAAGTTTGTTATTTTGAATGGATTGTCCTGAAACTTGAACATAATAATCTTCAAAGATTACTGTTAAAGATATACTGAAAGACCTTGACCTTCACACATTAATGACATTGTCTTTGAAAGGTCAAATTATTGAAATTTTCATTGTTTTTGGCGGACTGACTGGTAACTTTGCTATTATTGAAGGGATCAACTTCATATTATAAGAGAACATTCTTAAGGACCAGACCTTGTTGTTTATCAAACCCAACTTTTGCTTGGGCTCTTAAATGACCTTGACCTTGAAGGTTAAATTACTGAATTTTCTCAGATTTGTGCATTAAATGACCATATTTAAATATTTATTGGTGTGTGTGTGTCTATATATATGATATTTACAACAACAACAACAATAACTAAAATTGTGTCATTGTTTCTATGTATACGAATTGCGTCATTGTTTCTATTTATAGAATTGCGTCATTGTTTCTATTTACAGAAATTGGGTCATTGTTTTCTTTTATAGAAATGCGTCATTGTTTCTATTTTTAGAGATTGCATAAATTTTTTCTATTTTTAGAAATTGCGTCATAATTTCTATTTTTAGAAATTGTCATCATTTTTTCTATTTTTAGATATTGCGTCATAATTTTCTATTTTTAGTATTTTTAGAGATTGCATATTTTTTTCTATTTTTAGAAATTGTGTATAATTTCTATTTTTAGAAATTGCGTCATTGTTGCTATTTAGAGAAAATTGCGTCATTGTTTTCTAGATTTTAAAGATGTGTCATTTTTTCTATTTTTAAAGAAATTGTGTCAAATTTCTATTTTTAGAAATTGCGTCATTGGTGCTATTTTTAGATATTGCGGTCATTTTTTCTATTTTTAGAAATTGCGTCATAATTTCTATTTTTAGTTATTTTTAGTGATTGCATCATTTTTTCTAGTTTTTAGAAACTGCATGCATTTGTATTTAACTTTGTATTTTTTTATTATGCGCAGCGTTCGCGTACTAGTCGTTGCACGCCTAACACGTGCGTCCTTTTTCCCGCTTCGTAATAATTTACTAATTTTTTAGCTTCAACGAGGTAAAATTTGTACATGTATATAATGTTGTACAATTGTGATTTTTTAAAAATTTCTTAGCATATTCATATAATAAAACAATTATTGACTAGTGAGCCATTGAATATGATGTGATATTCACCGGCAGAAAGTCATATTGACCTCGGCTATCGCCTCGGTCAATATGTCATCTGCCGGTGAATATCACATCATATTCAATGGCTCACTAGTCAATAATTGTATAATGTAAACGGTATGTTCAAATGTCTTCTGTATACCAATTAATATGTGACTGGTTTACTTATAAATAAATTATTATGTAAAAGAGACGATATAAGATGTGACTAGAGTTATAATTTGGACGTGTCTTTGCTACAATCACTGTTTTATAAGACGACATTTAGTTAACTTGTAAATTTGCCGGTTGATAAAGCTGTTTCAGTTTTCTAGATCAAAAAGTACTTTTCTAGATCAAAAGTAACTTTTAAACGGTAACTGTCTGGACTTTTCCTTTCTTTCATGGTTGTTTCTTTTAAAATCTTTAATAGTTTGATCATTTTTTCTTTTCTTTAATGTATTTTTGACATGTTCGTAAGGCATCTTGACCTCGATCAATGTTCATTAAACTATGATAAAACACAAGCAAAACGAAACAATTAAACACTATAAAATAAAAGTTCGCCATTGGAAAGAAGGTTATATGGTAGATATGAATTTATTGCAATCACATTATTATAAGGCCAATAAACAACCAAATGAATAAATAAGAACATATTTCGTGCAATTTCATATGACTTCGTCCCTTGAAGTACTCATATTGCTATCCAACCTTTAGTGTAATGGTGTTTCTGCATCTAAGCTTATTCAAACCGAGTCTGTATTTCTTCAGTGTACATGTAGGGGCATCTGATGTCTTCTTCTACCATTAAATAAACAAACAAACCAACAGTGCACGAGAAGGAATATATCCTTAAGATTTATCTACCCACAACAGCACCTGTAAAGTTCTGTGCGACAGTTCGCATTTCATCGCAATCTTAGGTTACAGTTTTATATAGCACATCAGTTAGAAATCAGAATACCGCTGTAGTCGGTGTTTGGTGCTAGGGAATGTGATCAGCAGTGCACTTACCAGTAACTCTTATGAACAGACAAAATCAAATCAAGTCTTCAATATTATTTACATTTTTCTTCAGTATTCTAGAAGTGTTTTGAACTAGATATCACTGTCATCATCATTTGTTATATCATTCGTCTGAGTAAATTAACATTGAAAGATTAACCTTGGAAGATTATCAATTTACTAGTAAAAATGCACTCGCTTTTTGATCACCTTTCTATGATAGTTCTTTCAATTGGTATAATTCTTACGTTGGCTCTAGGTCTTCTGTTGACTTAAGGATAACTTTGTGTCTATTGTTCCGGTAAAACGCTTAATAGAAGACTTGCATTGTA